CCTCGAGCCACTCCTTGAGTTGAGGGATAGCATTTGAAACTCGAGCAAGGGCTACAACATAACAGAGATGGATGAATCTGGCCTAGGCACACGCTGTACCTCTTGCAGAAGTCTAAACAGACCAGATTTACCGGGCCCAATGTAAAGGGATAAGTGTAAATACTTAGATATCCCTCGAAATGGGTAGTAATGGCCTCTTCAGGGTCGGGGACCACGATATCTTTGTCGACCCAGTTGTAATCTTTTCGGACCGTGGGGAGGACCTCTTGGTAATTGAGCAGATGTATCTCTAGGCCTCCTCACACCGACCCTGTACGGAGGAAGGCTTTTCAACCTTGAAATCGTTGTTGACTGAGCATCCCTCGGGGATGAACATTTTCAAAGGGGTTCGGGTACTGGTTCATCAACGGCAATGCCCGGAACGGTCTCTTCGACCTCAGTGGCCGGCCGCGAAGTAGAAGGAGTTTCTTTCTAGGGAACGGTTTTAGAAGTCTTTGCCATTCTTTTAGAACGTAAAAATGGAGGGAAATCTAGAAAAGATAAAGAAAGAAAGGAAGTTTAAGGATTAGACTCGTTGGCTTGAGAAGAATATGGGTAAAATTTCTTGCAAAGGACCTTGAGTAACGAGGGTAAAAGTGCTAAAGAGTGTTGAAATCGTGAGGGTACGAGGGAAGAAGGTTTGATGTAAAATGAAGAATGGATAGAAGAGGGGTATTGATAGGAGTTCAGCAACGTTGCTCATGGTACACCCCGATCTTTGATAAAATAAGCCAAGCTCGAGACATGATGATAGGGGAACGACATCGAGGCAAAGGTCTCATCAAGTCAAAATCCGGGGGACGACGCCCGCCCTCGAGAATATCGGGGTTACGGTTCGGATTCGGTCTTAACCTTGAACGACTTCAAAGAACATTATCAGACAATCGAGCACGGTCAACGGAAGGCCGTAATATCTGTGACCAGCCGAATATCACGGCGGGGATCTCAGCATGTATCGATGAAGAACCGTCAATCTGTAAATCGGAGGATTTTTACCTTTTATAGAGTTGTACCTAGGATATGATTCCCCTACTATATAAAGGGGGTCTGATAATTCATTAAAGACATTGTAACACGCATACCAAAGCAATATATCGTTATTTTCTCTATCACTAGCTCTTTTCTCTTTTTCATTAGTACCGGCCGTGGCGAGCCCGGCTCGGGGGCAAATATTTCAACAATGCTGGAACTATCCTCGTCATGCGATTTGAATTTTTCTATCTTTGTTTGTTCAATAGTAACTTAATTTATCATTTTGTATCGAATTAATCCGCGTATTTTTAAAACCATTTACAAATTTAATTGTTATCTGATTTTGAGGGTAAACAATTATCTTTACCTTCACAAGAAAGGTAAGGTTTGCATAAACATAAAACTTTTCAGATCCTTGTGAAATTACACTAGTTATTAATATCGCTGGAAAGTCGATTTTTACCCCCAAAAAAAACATATTAAACACACACATATTGTATTTTGTAAACAAAATATAAGAAAATAACTCTTTGGCCTTCCAGTGTCACACATTATAGGCTTTCTTTGTTTTTTTTTTTTTTTTTTTTTTTGTTAATTTTTTTGTCTTTCTGTTTCGGATAATACAAAGGTTCGTGACTCATAGACACCAACTCAATCTGGAGTTTTCTATACTCATTATTTAGGAACGGGCAATAATAGGGTCCCCATTTGATGTCTATTATGTAAACGATATCTAATCCTATGATTCACTAGACATTGGTATCTCCTTTTCCTCTGCTAACATAACGTTGTGTTTGATATTTAATTATTCATAACTCTTTGTCTTCAATTGTTGATACAAAAAGTAACAGCTTCTACTATGGTTCGAAAAAGTGTCGGATCATAAAGGTCTATTGTACGTAGCTTTACTTTGTATTTTTACAAGTTGTTACTTCTATGGCTTGAACTCATGATCTCATAATTACATGACAACAACTTTACCAATTAAGTCTTTTGGTGTCTTTTGGAATTACCAACTCCTACTCGAGACGAAGCCCTTGTCGTCTTCCAAAAAAAGATTATAAGACAAATAACTATGTTCTATATATAAAATAGTGACCATCTCTCCTTTTCTTTTACTAATTAAACAAGAATACAATCACTAAAATGTCGAACACGGTGTTTTTTGTTGCTATCATGTCATCTTTATGCACATATCTGTGTTTTTGACACTTCTCAGTTTATGGGTAAAGGGCAAGATAAAATGTGAATTAACCGACAATAAAAAAAGAGAATGAGAATTCTTAAGAAATGAATAAAAGAAATTTGAAAGATAATCTTATATATTGGCAATACAGCAGTGATTACTTTTGTATCTTTTAATTTGTAGTTTTGTACTTTTATTTTAAAAAATAAAAAATCATTATTTGTATGTCTAACCATAATTGTATTTTGAGAAGAAGCAAAATATAAAATATTAAACCTAAAAAAAAAAAAATCATATTTGGCAAATAAAATGTTATCATCAAAGAATCTAGATTATAGATCCAGTGTTCGATCAACGATCACATCAAAAGTCTAAGCTTCGATTTTTCACGTGGAGACTATCAAAATATTATTCTACAAAATATCTTAAAATTAAAAAATTCTTACACGTATATTTAGTTAATCCATGCTATAATTTTATTAAAATTAAAAACAAATACAAGATAATTAACTAACAATCGGGCTATAAATAATCACAAAGTATAATTCATGAAAAATTAAGATGTTTACTAGATATAGTGGAAAGCTAAATGAAAACACCATTGATCCTCATGGTGTAACGGAGGAGAGAAAAATGAGCTTTTGACACAATTAACTAGTCTATCAAAATAATTACAGCCGCTAGCAATATATATATATAAAAATATTGAATAAGCGAAGAAGGGAAACAAAAAGAAAAAGGAGGAAAAAGTATAAAAAGCCTAGGCACCCAAAGAGGAGGAAGGGCGTAGTAATCGACGAAATGCTTCGGGGAGTTGAAAATCAGCATAGATCCGGAGATTTCCGAATAGGGCAACCTTTCGAACTGCTGCTGAATCCATGGGCAGGCAAGAGAGAACCAGGCGTTTCTCGGTTCCTTCTTCCATAACCAGAGTTCGGAGAAGGAAGAGATAAGAGGGCCCTATTAATTATAAATAATATATAGTAAGATATTTGTACGCTATTATTTTAGGAAGTGACTAAACTGTATAATCACAAGGGTGATATCTTGTGGGCTCTATATGTTCACGTGAGAAGCCCTGTCCCTATCTTACTAATGGATTAAGAAGATATGATATTAGTGAACATTTTAATATTGAGGAAGTAACATGATATACCCATTTGTAGAACTCACTTTTATGGTATACTTAAGTTTTAAAATTATATCATATATTTCAAAAATATTACATGTTATACCTCCATATATTCCAAAACATATCACGATATTCTACTTTGGAATACAATCCAAACCTAACTTACCATAATATTCTATTTTACAATACAATATTCTAACTAAACAGGCCATAATATTTTAATTTGGAATATAATATTCAAACTAATGATACCACAATATTCCAATTGAAAATCCAAACATAACTTACCATAATATTCTAATGAAGAATACAATATCCAAACTAAACATATCATAATATTCTAATAAAACATACTACAGAATTCTAATTTGGGATACAATATTCAAACCAAACTAAACATACCATAATATTCTAATAAAATATACTACAGTATTCTAATTTAGAATACAATATTCAAACCAAATATATTATAATATTTTAATTTGGAATACAATATCCAAACTAAACATACCATAATATTCTAATAAAACATACTACAGTATTCTAATTTGGAATACAATATTCAAACCAAATATATTATAATATTTTAATTTAAAATACAATATCCGAACCAAACATACTACAATATTTGAATTTGGAATATAGTATCCAAAGCAAATATGCCATAATTTTTCTAAACATGCTACAGTATTCTAATTTGGAATACAATTCCAAATTAAATATATCACAATATTCTAATTTGAAATATACAGTAATATATTTTAGAATAAAGTAGGTATACATGGTAAAATAATTTTATAAAGTAGGTATATAGAGTAAAATAAATATTTTAATTGTATATGGTGTTAACTAATGTTTTCAATTGGCATACCAAGTAGATTCCCCTTTAATATTTGAGTTGGTGGGCTATGATTTACCCCTGGCCCATTAAGTAGCTTTTTGTAGGACAAAAAGAGTTGGATTTGGGTCACCAAATTGATTGGATCCAAATCCATAATTTGATTCTCATTATCTTTGACTGTGACAATGTATGGAGATTTTGCACTAATTGGATTGATATTAGACCATCTTGTAAATCTATTTGACTAAATATGTACTTGATTGCCTAGAACTTTTGCTAATTGAGCTATAGAGTTTGGAAACTTGTTTATGTTTCTTATTGGACTATTGAATAATACTAGAGGTTTTATAAATAATAATCTAATCAGAATTGAGCAACCTTTTATTTTCGGGTTGTTTAATCATTGAATATCTAAATTTACTAGCCTGACTAATCCAATTCGAGCCAAGTTAGTCCATTGAGGGTTGTAAAGTATGCCTTACCGAAATGCTCTTTATGCTTATGACTCTCAAATCGAGACATCTAGTTAAGACTGGATGATCTTAATCATCCCATCATATTTTTCGATGTTTTTTTCTTTAAAAAAAACTTCTTTAATATTAATTTTACCTAATTTGGTAAAAAATAGTTGTATATATACTTGCGCTTAATCACCTTATTTGGTTACACTTGTAATCCATTTTAGCCACAATAAAAAGAAAAAAAAGGTGGAATAACATTTTTGTGAAATGATCAGGCCCTTTGAATTGGGCTTATGGATTTCACACTTCAAAAGCCCAAATTACTTTTAGTCATTTGCGTTGACAATAAGCAAATGGATTCCAATTTGGGACCCAAATTCCAATTGATTATGTCGTCCAATTTCACATGACGCCGGAGTAGCTGTCCTCTTGCCGTCAAATTTCCCTATATTTCTCCGGCGAAATTGAACTGTAAGTTCACTCTCTGTCTTTTATATATCATAAGACAGAAACTTAACGCCATTGTCGCATGATATTGTAATTGTTAAACACGAATTGTTAGATGAATTACTATGTTTTTGCCCTCTAAATACCTGAAGGAGCTTCAGTTCAATTTGGCGTAGTTCTATGACTTTCATATGTTTAAATTGCATAGTCATATTTTTTGCTTCTGATATTGTACTAGTCTGTCTTTTGAGTAAAACTAATTAAGTTTTTATCGCCTTTGAGTATTATAGAGCATGATTAGTAAGATTTTGATATAATCTGTTAACTTGCAAGGAAAATAGTGAGATCTAAGCGAGCAATCTAAGAGAGAAGAGAAAGGAGCTAAGTATTCTCATTCATAATCCTCAAATGGGTAAAGTGCAGTACATATATCGTGACTGAGAAAGGGACTAAAGTAAAAGAAATATTTAAATAACTGGGCCAAAGTGAAAATACTCTAGGGACTAAACTACTAGTTCTCAAACTATATAACTGACTTAACTACTTCTGATTCTTATACTACTACTCAAGTTCTATGTACTATTCCCGCAGCTGTGCAATTGACGCAGTTCATATCAGTACTCCCCCCTGAAAATCTTCCTTGTCCTCAAGGAAGAAAGGATGGAAACCTGACACGCAAAACACTAGCATCTTCCCAAGTTGCCTGATCTTCTGGAAGCTGATCCCACTGAATTAGAAGCTGAACTATTGCCTTATTCCCCTTCTGAACCATCCTTCTGTCCGACACTTTAGCAGGACAAGGACAATAGGGGCTGGACAAGTCCAAAACTGGAGGGTGAGATACTTTCTCAGGGACCTCGTAACATGGCTTAAGTAAGGATACATGGAAGGTGGGGTGCAACATCAACTGTGGAGGCAAGGATAGTTTGTAGGCAACATTGCCTACCTTCTGAAGGATCTGGTATGGGTCATAATACTTGGAAGAAAGTTTGGTGAAGTGTCTGCTAGATAAAGTCATCTGCCTGTAGGGTTGAATCTTATGATATACCCACTCTACAACATTAAACTGTTTGTCTGATATTTTCTTGTTGGCTTGGTCGACCATCCTCTGCTGAGACCTGGACAGATGGAACTTAAGTAGCTGCAACTTGAGTTCCCTTGTCGTCAAGCTTCTATCCACTTCTGGTACCCCTGAATCTCCTTGCATATAAGGCAAATGTAAAGGTGGAGGCCGACCATACAAGGCTTCATATGGTGTGGTCTGAGTGGATGTGTGAAAGGTGGTGTTATACCACCATTCTGCAAAGATCAAATAATGTCCCCAATCAGCAGGTGAGTCAGAGCTATATCATTGCAAATAAGTCTCCAAACACCTATTGATAACCTCAGTTTGACCATCGGACTGTGGGTGGTAAGCAGTAGAAGTGTTTAAGGTCACTCCTTGGGTAGCAAACAGTTCCTGCCACAATTTGCTCGTGAAGATTGGGTCCCTGTCACTCACAATATCTTCAGGCATTCCATGAAGCTTAAAGATATTTTCCATGAACAGCTTGGCAATGTCCATTGCAGAATAAGGATGTTTAACTGCTACAAAATGAGCATACTTTGTCAATCTATCCACCACCACCCAAATGACTTCTTTCCCATTAGACTTAGGCAACCCCTCGATGAAATCCATGCTATTGCTACTCCATGCGAGTGCTGGGATTTGTAGTGGCTGCAACAGGCCTGGAGATGCAGAGTGGTCATACTTGTTTTTTGGCACACATCGCATTTTTTAACATAGTTCTCCACATCTTCCTTCATCCTCCTCCAGTAAAACAGAGCAACAACCTTCCTGTAAGTATGGTATTGTGGTCAATTCCAGAATGACCACCAGTAACTGAGTCATGCCAAAGTTGAAGTATCTCCTTCCTAAGCATTGCATCAGACCCAACTACTAGTCTCTCATTCTTTCGCAATTGCTGATTAATAAAAGAATACTCCTTCACTTTTTTGAGATCATCCAATCGATGCATTAACTTTTATAACTCTGGATCTGTACTCCCGCTATTCATGATGGCCTGTAGTAGGTCAGTTCTCACACTGGATAGTGAGAGAGCAGCAATTTCCACTGTAGGAATCCTGGACAGAGCATCTGCAGCTTTATTCTCCTTGCCTTTCTTATATTCAATTTCAAAGTCATATTGCATGAGTTTAGTCACCCACTTCAATTGTGCTCTTGCATGCAACTTTTGCTCAAGTAGGAATTTTAAGGCCTTCTGGTCAGTTTTAAGAATGAAATGTCTACTTGTTAAATACTGACCCCACCTTGTGACAGCCATTACCAATGCTAGCAACTCTTTGTCATACACGGACATAGCTCAGTGTTGTTGAGATAACCCTTTACTTAGTTATGCGATAGGTTGGCCCTTCTGCAATATCACAGCTCCAATTCCCACATCACATGCATCAGCTTCGACTGTAAATACCAAGCTGAAATCTGGCAGAGCTAACACTGGTGCAGTGGTTAGAGCATTTTTCAATGACTGAAAAGCTGCAGTTGCCTTCCCAGTCCACTTGAAACTATCTCTCTTCAACAAATCAGTCAGGGGCTTGCTAATTTGCCCATAACCCCTAATGAATCTCTTATAATATCTAGCCAACCCCAAGAAGCCTCTTAATTGCTTGACAGTGGAAGGGGTTGGCCACTCTTATACTGCCTCGATCTTATTAGGATCAGTAGAGACCCCCTTGCCAGAGTTATAATGTCCCAGATATTCCACACTTGTTGTAGCAAAATGACATTTAGATTTCCTGGCAAAGAGATGGTGCCTCATCAACAACCTAAAGGTCTCCTTTAAGTGATCCACATGATCCTGCATAGTCTTGCTAAAAACCAGTATATTGTCAAAGAACGCTAAGATAAACTTCCTTAAATGCTCTTGAAAAATGCGGTTCATCAAGCCTTGAAAACTAGAGGGAGCATTGGTTAAGCCAAATAACATCAGCAAATACTCATAATGACCTGAATGGGTCCTGAAAGCTGTCTTGTGAATGTCTGAGGGTGCCATCCTAATTTGGTGATAGCCTGATCTAAGATCAATCTTAGAATACACCTGTGAACCCCCCAATTCATCCAACAGCTCCTCAATGATAGGTATAGGGTACTTGTCTTTAATTGTAATCTGGTTTAAAGCTCTGTAATCCACACATAATCTCCAACTGCCATCCTTCTTCCCTACCAATACAGCTGGAGAAGCAAATGGACTACTACTATGTTGTATTAAGCCCTGAGATTGTAATTCGTGCACCATTTTTTCAATAACATCCTTTTGCACTAGAGAATACCTGTAGGGCCTTGCATTTACTGGATTGGTCCCTTCTTTGAATGGAATGTGATGATCAAAAAGTTCCCTGAAAGGGGGCAACCCCTTTGGTTCACTGAAGACTGCCTCAAACTCATGCAAAACCTGCTGAATCTCAACAGGTTGAATCTCAACAGGTTCATTGCCTAGAATCGGCTCCTGTCCCTCCTTGTGCTTCTCTTGTGCATTCCTTGTAACCACCTTAATCATAAATAGTTGGGCACATTCCCTTTGTATTTTCTGCAAGGCATCTGACTCCACCATCTGTAGTTTGGGTCTAATCCCTTGTAAGAGTAACATCTTCCCTTCATATTCGAATTGCATAGTCAGTTTCTTAAAATTGAACAAAATGTCGCCCAAATCACTTAACCACTGGACCCCCAACACTACATCACAAGTTCCCAAAGGAAGCAAAAGAAAGTCTGCTCTAAACACAGAACCTTGCAACAACCACTCAATTCCCTTGCACACTCTTGAGATTGGTACTGTGTTTCCATCAGCTAAATTAGCATCAAGTAATTCACATGAATCCACCTTCCGGCCCATTTTAGTCACCAAATCCTTGTCAATGTAGTTATGAGTTGACCCTGTATCAATAAGGATATTGAGTGGACAGTGACCAGGGAGTCTTAATGTCTTGTAACCTGTGGTGCCATGAAGCGCATGAATTGAGATCTCACACATCTCTGCAACCTCTTCCATGTTAAACAACTCCTCCTCAGTTTCCACCACTGTCTCCACTTCCTCTAACTCCAGCAAGTACAACTGAATCTTAGGTTTACATATATGGCTAGGTTCAAACTTTTCATCACTGACATAGCACAACCCCTAGCTCTCCTCTCACTCAATTCTGTAGGGGTGAGTCTCCTCCTCTTAGTCCTATCAAGGACTGTATTCTGGGCATGTTTTGGTAAATGGTTAACAGGTGTCCTTACAGGTTTGGCATAGGTGGGTTGCTGTGATGCAGTATGGGTTTTATTGAAGATATTAGATGACTGTAAAATGGAGGTTTTCAACGCTTTGGATCGTTTAATAAAGATTGACTCCTGTAACTGAGCCAAATGATAGGCTTGTGGCAGGGAATATGGTTTCAATATCCTCACAACATCTCCCAGTTCTGGCTTCAACCCCTCTAGGAATATACTGATGGCATAGTTAGGTTCCAAATTGAGCCTAGTCATAGCTCTATCAAACAACTCTTGAAACTCTGCTACCCCTCCCGTTTGCTTCAACTTAACCAATTCACTCATAGGATCATCAAATTTTGCGCCAAACCTATCGGACAATGCCCAAATGTACTCCTCCCAACTCGGAATTGAAAGATTAAGGGGTACCCTGCTCCTCATATAAGCTCTGTGCCACTGTAATGCCAAGTCATCCAGGTGCATGGAAGCAACTGCAACCTTCTGATTGTGTGGAACTTCATCCATTGAAAACAAATTGCTCCACCTGGTACCACCAGTTCTGAAATCCCTTGCAGTTGAACCTAGGGAACCCAATCCTATATTGTCTCAAAATCAAGTGTGAGGGGTGGTAGTTAGGGTAGGTGTTGTAGTGAGTTAGGTAAGGTGAATACACTGGTTGAGTAGTGGGTAGGGTGTTCATATTTGGTAGCATCTGGTTTTGGTTCATACGAATGGGTATTGGGTTAGTCATAGAGCTGGGAATCTGGTTAATTGGCCCCGACATTGGTATGTGGTTTTGGGGAAATTGAACTGGAAATTGTGGTGAGGGAATGGGTGCTATAGGTGGAGTCATCTGAGTTCTGGTCATGGAAGCTTGGTGTGTAGCAGAAGTAGGGTGAGATTGATGGTTGATTAGCCTTAGGGTTCGAATTGGATTGTTGTCAGGGAGATTGATTATCAATACCCGCCAGATGCAAGGGCCCATCGGTGGGTGAGTAAAGTTCCCCTCGAGTTAGCTCATTTACTGTCACCTCTTTGCCGCTGCTGGAGCTCGGAGCAGCTGCAATGGCTTCCTTCAGTTCCCGAAATGCATGTTCGTTCACTGCTTCCAGCTGGTTCTGTCGGACATTGAAATTCGCCACTTCAATAGCCATTTGATCCAACCGATTCAACACTTCTCCAATTTTACCAGCCATGGCTGATGACCCACAGAGCAGGATCTGATACCATTGATATAATCTGTTAACGCAATGAAAATAGTGAGATCTAAGCTAGCAATCTAAGAGAGAAGAGAAAGGAGCTAAGTATTCTCATTCATAATCCTCAAATGGGTAAAGTGCAGTACATATATCGTGACTGAGACGGGGACTAAAGTAAAAGAAATATATAACTAACTGGGCCAAAGTGAAAATACTCTAGGGACTAAACTAGTAGCATAACTGACTTAACTATTTCTTATTCTCGTACTACTGCTCAAGCTCTATGTACTACTCCCGCAGCTGTGCAATTGACGCAGTTCATATCAGATTTTGCCTTTGTTCATGCATTGAGAACTTGTTTCCTAGAGGTGTGAGGCCAGTGGCGGAGCCAAAAATTCGTACAAGGGGATTAAAAAAAAGGACTACAGTGTCACACCTAGGATTTGAATTTGTGACCTAAGGCAATTTTACAACCCCTTTTAGCGCTAACACGAGAATCTTTTCTTGTGTCAAGGGGATTCGCCCGTTTATATATAACATATGTTGCTCGGGCTCTCCAAAATTGTTGCTGCACTTGTGTTGGATCCTTTAAAAATTGCACTACTTTTGGGATCTGACACGCACCGTACAACATTTTTGAAGTGTCCGTGTAACATAGTATATTACCCAATTTTTTTGTTTTTACCTTATTTACGCAACATTTTTCCGTCTGAATGGGATTCAATCTTGTCTCCCCTTAGTTACGCCGTTGTGTGAGGCTATATTGTTTAAAACCTCCAAAAATGCCGTCGCACCTGTGTGGGATTCTCCAAAAATGAATAACTTTTGGAGGATCCGACACACTGGCAACATTTTTGAAGGATCTAAGCAACATAGGTGTGAGGCTAATCTAGTCGGTCTGCTTTCTTTGGTTTATATAATTTATTTTTGCCTCAGTAAGCTGAGATTGGGGACTTCTCTGCAACAGTATTTCTTCATAGTGTATCCTCTCCTGATACAACGCTAGGAGGTCCGAAACAACGATCCAAAATGAGAAATGAAAGAAATAGAAGGAAAAGGAAGTGTCAGTACTGAACTTCCAAATTTTAATATTAAAAAGGAAAAAATGTTGAAAGACAATTTTTTTCTAAAAATATTAGGTGAGTTCTATAGACTTTGCAAGAATATGTAAACTTTGCAGTTTAAATTGCCAGCAATTAGAATGGGAATGGTGTTCTCAAACCAAAATCTTACATAAAGTGTAATGTAATGCTTTCCTTTTTGCCCTTCTATTCTTCATTATGCTGGTCTAGTTTAACGCTTTTAAGCTGGTTAAGTTTCAGAACATTTACCTAATTAATTAACGCCTTTGATGTTGATAAATCCTCCCGTAATACAGTTAATGGAGAAAAGAATCCTCCCGTAATACAGTTAATGGAGAAAAGAACTATGAAAAGCTCTGAGTTTTTACGTTAACTATTTCCTTCTCATAACTTCCCCATTTATCTCCTTCATTTTTTTTTTTGTGTGTGTGGTTTAAGCAGTTAGTTGCTTAAATAATGTGAATAACATCGTCTGCTCGTGACTTGATGTTCTTTTCCAGCCAGGTTGCAGAAAAGTTGTATAACATGGGTGATGCAATTGATTTAACTGGAGATGGAGGTGTTATGAAAAAAATAGTGCAACGTCCGAAACCTGATGCAATTGCTCCCTCTGAGAGTCTTCCTCTTGTTGATGGTATGGGTCACATAGATAGCCTTGGGCATATGACATAAAATGTCTACATTGTTTCTGTTTTCTGTTGTCAGTCTCTGTTGTATTCACTCTCGCATTTTCATTTTGGCATGTCTCTTACAATGGACTACTTATATATTATTAGGATAACACTTGAATGCATAGTGAGCCTTTACTGTGTAACTATAGCTCTCATGCCATTACCTTTTTACAAAGGCAAGGGTGCTCCTTATAAATTGAGAAGAAGATTTCTCCTGCAAAACAATTGCTTAATTTATTGTCGTAAATAGAGAAAGTATAGCAAATTCTGATTTGGTTGGCTGTAGAACAATATGCTAATGTTGAAAAGCTAAATAGGTCTTCTTTCTACTAAAAGTTAATGTTTGAAGTATCCTTGAAGAACGAAGTTTGGGGTAAGAAAGAAAGGCAGAGTGGGAGCTTTGAGATAGTTGAAAAGGGGTGTAAAGATTGAGAATTTTAAAGCAATACATCCCCAAAAGTCACTGTTAGTTTCTGCTATAAGTTAGGCCTCAATTGGGAGCTCCAGCTACTCTACTTCCATCGTCATGAAGTCCTGCGGATAATTCGAATACCACAATATCCTTCCATCCCTCACTCAAGCGTGTCATTATTTGATTTTGACCCTGCGGATAATTCGAATACCACAATATCCTTCCATCCCTCACTCAAGCGTGTCATTATTTGATTTTGACCCTGCGGATAATTCGAATACCACAATATCCTTCCATCCCTCACTCAAGCGTGTCATTATTTGATTTTGACCCTGCGGATAATTCGAATACCACAATATCCTTCCATCCCTCACTCAAGCGTGCATTATTTGATTTTGACAAGAGTAACTGTCAAGTTAAATGCTCTTTTTGACAATAAACTCATAATTTAAGGTCTTCTTTTTTTTACTGAATAAGTCTCCAGAGTTGTATCCTTCCCACTTTTGAACTGGAAAATTGCACGATTGCATGCATAAGCAGATAAGCTTCTAGATTTTCTTTATTTTGGCAATAGTTGAGACTGAAAAATTATTAGACACCGGCCAACATTTTGGATTTCGTTAACCATAATTTAGTCCCTGAATTAACTTGTGCACTACTAGTGTAGCCCAGTGCCCCACGTAAGAGCTCAAGAATAATGGAAAATGCTTTTTATTTTTGCTTAATGACAATTTTCTGTATTAATTCTCTTTTAGCAACATATGAAATAAAAGCAGGGAATACTCTTTTGTGATCCATATTTTGAAAATGACTAATTTGTCCTCACCATGTATCTTGTTTCAGTGATCGGTCATCTCCAAATTTACAGTTTCTTAATTGCTAACATGTGCATATTTCTCTTTAGCTGTACTGGAAATAGCTACATATTCCTGGTTGAGTCGTTGAGATTCGGCACATTAATCTTTTCCTTTTGTTTTTCGGTATCAAAACAGTTCATTATGAAGGCACTCTTGCTGAGACCGGTGAAGTATTTGATACCACCCGTGAAGATAATACAATTTTCTCCTTTGAGATTGGTACTGGTTCTGTTATTAAGGCTTGGGATGTTGCACTGAGGACCATGAAGGTCAATATGCTCTCAGACTTGTGGTGGTTGTACATCGAGTTTAAATTAGTGTTCAACTTTTTTCCTTTTGATCTTTCAGGTTGGGGAAGTAGCTGTAATTACCTGCAAGCCAGAGTATGCCTATGGAAGTGCAGGATCCCCGCCGGATATTCCCCCCGAGTAAGTTAACTCTGTAGTTCTTTACATGCTGCAAGTGTGTCTATTTCTGGTAGTCTACTATGGTGAAAGTATACTCTTACCAAAAATGGAGGAGAAAGAATAATGTTTCTGTTTTAGGAAAATGGTATGGGTTCGTTCACTTATACTTTAAACTATGTAAAACAAAGTCTCTCTACTAAATGGCTAGCACTAAAATGGAGCTGGGAGCCTAGGATTGTGTGGATTGCCTTCAGCTCTTGGACATCATTCAGAATTTATTTTTACAGGTTTTCTTTTAGAAAATAAATACTTGTTTCTTTAGCATTACTATACCTGATTTTTTTTTTAAAAAAATTGTTTCTTTAGCATTTGCATCTCATCAAGTCATTAGGTCGTCAACTTCCTTGACCTTCCAGCACGCTAAACAGTTAAAGAAAGTAAGAGGACGTTGATTGGTGGCAACACAATGAGTGTCTTGGGCTGGTAGAGGCGGTGTTCTTTTGAAGTAGTAATCTGATTGTTGGTTTTGAAACATCTTAATACAGTGCAACCCTTGTTTTTGAGGTGGAGCTCGTGGCTTGTAGACCACGTAAAGGTTCTAGTATCAGCAGTGTTTCAGATGAAAGGGCTAGGCTGGAGTAAGTTCTCGCTCTTTCTCTCTGCGCTATTGGGTTGAAAATCGTGGTTTATTCTATGTAAAAGCCTTCATTTATATCCTTAGAAAACAACTGAATGGAATTTCGACAAAACAATTGGCACTGTATTAAACAGGGAGCTAAAGAAGCAAAGAGAAATGGCAGCTGCAGCTAAGGAGGAAGAGAAGAAGAAGAGAGAAGAAGCTAAGGCAGCGGCAGCTGCTCGTATCCAAGCCAAACTTGAAGCAAAGAAAGGAAAAGGAAAGGGTAAAGCAAAGTAAAATCCGGTATGTATTATATGATATATGCGTATAGACGAGATGTTAGTATACCAGATGTTTAATATGCTAAATTCGTAAGCTTTATCATTTCCTTGATCGAGAAGTATTTCTATGCTTTCAAGTTGTTAAATTTTTTGGCATCTCTCCATAGTTTATACAGGAAGGATATTCGGTTAATCTGTTTAAGTATTTTACAGATTAACAAGGTAGGGGTAAGGTCTGCGTACACATTACCCTCCTCAGACCCCACCTGTGATATTACACTTGGTTTTTTGTTGTTGTTTAAGTATTTTACAGAGCACATTTTCAGCTAACAATTGATGGTTTTAAAGATCTCTAATAATCGGATATTTTAAATGTTGCTTATAGTGAATCGGCCAACAATGTTACAAAATTCATTAAATTTTAATTCGTGACACTACAGTTTGAATTGTAACGATCATCGAATTGTTCCGTTGATAGCTTAAATGATGTAGAGTTCAGCCTCCTAACTCCCACTTTCCTTCTATTACCACATTTGTAAAATTGGTAGAGAAGGATAATTCATGCAAACAACAAGTACAAATAACTATGGAAGATCTCTTTAATACTCCTTTTGTTTCAGTTTACATGAACGTATTTTTTTTTTGGTACGTTTCAAAAATAATAATCTCTTTCTGAATTTGAAAATAATTTAATTTAAATTTTTAATTTTACCCTCAATGAAAAGTTTTTATAGCCAAACAAATATTCTGACATGTTTAACACCATAAAATTCAAAAAAGTTGTAGTGTTAGCGAAAAGGCAATGACAAAATTCAATTCTAAGTACCAAGTTGTTTATCTACTTTTATCCAAACAAATTATACGAGTAGCTTTTTCGTGTAAGCTTTTTCCTAGTTTCATTGAAGTAAAGTCGTGGCCCAAATGTTCATTAAGATGCCAAATAGCCACTTATTCTTCCAAATGTTCATTAAATAGAGACAAATCCCAAGATTTAAGGCCCTTTGATTCCGTTTAATAGCAAAAGCCAAGCTGTTAGCGTCCAACAGAAAACTAATTTGTTGTAATCACATGGCACCATATCAACTTTAGTTATAATTTGTCATTCCCTAGATGCTTAATTATCTACTAAACAAACAGAGATTAGCAACAGAAAGATTTTAAAAAAATTATTGACTGACCCCTGTGGCCAGAAAAGTACATACTTTCGGCTATTTGATATTTTCTTCTTTCATTTTTATTTGTCCATTATACTAATAATACATTTTCACTTTTACTTGTCCACTACATTAAATTAAGAGAGATAATCTTTTCTTCTTGTTTTACATTTATCATTAACTACTAATTCCCCAAATCATTTCTCTCGACTTTTGGAAATGCTATCATTGTTATGGATAAAATTATAAACTACATACTTTATTTTTTTTAAAGGGAGTGCAAAGTCAAAAGTGGGATAACCAAAAGTGAACAGAAGGAATATTTGCTATTGCCAAACTAGTAGTCGGAACAAGGTATTCTCTCTTTAATCTATAACGATTAAGATTTAATTAATTGATTTGGAATAAAAACCAAGTGCGAGTTAAGTGCTAAAATATTAACTGCAAGCAGCAGCTGTAGTATATTCCCAAAAATATTCGGAGAAAATACAAATCCAATCCAACCACGCTGGAGAACAAATTCTTTTGACAATGGCGCCTAGAATATTCAGACATTATGCGTTATTTTTGAGAAAGAAAAGGGATAAATAAATAGAGTCTGCGTTATGTTTATCATCTACTTCTGTTTATTCTTGTCAGCTAATTGGTAAGACTAATGTTGCTAGTACAACCAAAAGCGGATCCACAATTTAAATTTAATGGATTCAACTTTTAAGATTTTTAGCATTAAACTCAGTGTCGTGTTAAAATTATGAGTTCCGTAGCCGAAAGGCTACATCCGCCCGTGACCACAACATTCACAGTTCTAGATGCAACTCAATTGACTAGAATACAATATTATGAACATTAGCTCAAGAGGTAGCACAAATTTGCACCTTTAACTACAAAAGAACCTAAACATGAACATCCAAAATAGGCCCAAAACTTGTACTGTTTTCCGGTGATATGCCGGTAGTGTTCTCGCATGGTAGAGTTATGCAGTAACGTATACACGGGGCTGAGATTATGCTTCACTTGAGTCGAGGATCTATCAGAAACAACTTCTCTACCTTCACAAATGTAAGGATAAGGTTGCATACACACTACCCTCTCCAGTCTCCACTTGTACGATTTTAAAAAGTATCGAACAAACAGCTTTTGAATTTGTGCAGAAATACAACCAAAGGCTTAAAAGATTTCCTGCATATGCTTCTTCCTTCAAGAATTTGTTAAGTATCAATCCTTTAGCAGCATCATTTGTGCCTTATTCGAGCCGTGAAAATAGCTTCTTGCAGAAATGTAGGGTAAGGCTGCGTACAATAAAACTTGTGGGCCAGCCCTTCCCCGGACCCCGCACATAGCGGGAGCTTAGTGCACCGGGTTGCCGTTTATTTGTGCCCCATTAACCAAAGGGTCCACAACTCAGGGTCCAAATCCAGCCATACATCAGACCTACCATGTCATCAATCTTTAGAATATGAACAAAACTAAGAACGTGGTTAACCACCCATTATATAATATATGCATTAGGGCAAAGTAGAGACCACATAGTAATTGAGCTAAGCAACAGATACAAGGTCCCTCAAATATGGAAATTCAGTTGCAAAAACTTTCCAAGTCAAGTCTGATTAGGAAGTCCCACATAACCTGTCATCAGAAACTTACTATAAAATTTTAATTCCCAACACCATGCCTAATGGAATCACTTTAAAAACTTAGACCAATCACATATTCTTTGCTTAAAACAAGAACTATTTCTTCTCCTTAGCAGACAGGGAAATGTACCAGAAAATACTACTGCCCCACCAGACTATTAGGTCCCATCTTAATAATATGCTGCAAGTGCTCTCTCAACTAAGGCCTCTCTTTTCCTAATCTAATAATAATAATCACCACTTTTAACATTCTTATTTCTTAGCAAGAAAGTTTCCTGCTAACACCTGTCTTCTTTTCTGAGGTTCTTGTCATTAAACATACCAGCTCTACAGAATTTCAACAAAGAGTTTATGGCTACAAGTCACTCTTAACAACACTCCTTTCATCTACAGAGACCTTTTTATATGCAGGTGTATCATTAGATCACCACACTGACATGTCACAATCTCACTCTGACTAAATGACCCCGTATACAATATGCCAATTATGTCAATTAAAATAACTTTCTTAGGTTTACCTCAAACTAGAACTTGTAACAAGCCAAGTAGTGGTTATTAAAAACAAAAACAAAAAACTAAAAACTGGAAGGCACACTATATTAATAGACAGGTATTTACACCCAAAAATGGGCCTGATCTTTGCAAACAAAATGTCTTTTGGCATGCCCAGATGTATCGTAAGTAAAGAATAATATGCTAAAGATTCACTTGTCGGTATGAGTTTATAACTAACCAAAGGGTTTATAATTAACAAAGGGTCCGAAACCTACCCTTACCACCTTAAGAAAATGAACAAAGGAGAATGTGACCAATCACCAGTAATACATAGTATTATATAAAGGACAATGGAGAGACCACAGAGTTGAGCTAAGCAGCAGGTCTCCACTATGGAAATTCAGTAGCAATTGCAAAGCTTTCAAAGTCAAATCTGATTAGGATGTCCCAAATGCCCTGTCATTAGACTCATTATACAAGTTAGTTATAAAACTCAGTGCCACTATCTCTAATGGGATCACTTTAAAATCCATCAAATACTCTTCACTGAAAACAAGAACTATTTCTTCTCCTTAGCAGGCAGGGAAGCTGACCAAACAATAACCACTGCCCCACCAGAAAACTACAGCTCCTACACTAATAAAATCTATCAACTTGCCCTATTAATATCCATCAAGTAGCTGCCGCTTGAAACAAGAGATTTTTCTTCTCCTTAGCAGGGAAATTGCACTGAACAATCGCCAGAATATTTTCTTTTTAGCAACAGTGATGCCCCGGCCAGCTTGTACACTATTCCATTTGGTACGGCTATTGTACAGGTACCGGGTAACTCTGCAAATAGGAATCCACCCGGCTATATTATAGGTCCCACCTAATATAATGCTGTTAGGTCTATCGCAACTTGCCTATTTCTCTTTTTTCAAAGTAATCTAATTGATAACCAGGCCTACTTATAATCCATACCAGAAGGATTGAGGCTAATATCAGTCCTCTGTCTGAAATTTCCTCATTGCATATCAGTCTACAAAGTCATCTACCCCAAAAAGATTGGAGCTACTACTCAACTGGACCAGCATACATTTCACCATTGGAAGGCTTTGTTATCTGCAGATGAATTATTAGGTTCACCCATCATTCATCAACAAGTTACTAGTTCCCACTTTGCCAAGAATCAAGACTACTAACTTAAACCATAGGCCCATTTTATCTATTAAATCACTTTTTTAGCTTATACAAAACCTATACCTTCAAAAAAGCAAATTCATATATCAGTCAAGCCGGTACTTTATGTTTCATCAGCATTTGCTATATTTTAATATGGCCTGCTATTGTGACCTCACTTCACCTTCCCCTACTGCAACTGGTGTTTACACAAGTTTATCCCCCATGAATAAACTCCACTTTAAAAACATAACCCGCCAACCGAAACACAGAATATCAACAACGTTCAACATTTATCATATTATGGATATGTACATGCCCATCCTCATTCCTCCGCACAAAACAACTCACAATGTAGCTTTCAAACTTCTATTAATGACATCAAAATGTAAAGAACAAATAGATTCCAATATAAGGAAACAATTTGCTATTTATAATCTTCGATGAACAATTTAATTACATGATCAAAAGGAAGTCTTTAACTAGCAAGCCAAGACTAAATGCAGGGTCCCCTATTGTGGGACATACCTGAATTTCCAAAAAGTGAAGAAGTCCAGATACAAGAAACTCAGAATTCATGTAAGCTTCATAAGTTTCAATAGACTATTGGAACAAAGCGGACTGACTTTAAACTTAAACTAAAAGCTTAAAAAGGAAAAGATAAGGAATATAAGAAAGAATTACACTGCGGGACACTCTTTAAGTTCAAAGGCACATTTGGTACTTGAGCGTTGAGGCAGTCGACCTTCTTGCCAGGAGCCATTTCTTACACTAATATTTCAGCGTCATCCTCCCCTGCTATAACATCTTCATAAATATCAAATATAAATTCTTGCGTGCCAATTAAGAGCCAACATTCACATCCAGTTATTTACAATGACGATAAACTTGTCATCCACCAGTATTCAAATTACCATCTTTTTTCTTTTTTCTGTATGACCAAGAATCCGTCTGTGGCCAACCCTTAGGACCAACCACTGCTTTCAAAACTCGGGAATGGTGGATCCACCCCTCTACCATTCTCCACTTAAATACCAGGTTAGTTCTCATGGGGGCAACTTACCATCTTCTAACTCCATTATTAGCTTCAAAACCCCAACCTCTACGCCTTCTTGCCGTAGCTAAAAACACAGACGACATCGAACTACTCCCGCTTCGATTTATTATCCTAGAATCTGAACTAGTGGAACTAGACCTTGAAGAAGAACCACCACCACCACCACCACCACCACCAAAACACGAAAACAAGTTGCCAAAAAACCTCCTCAATCCACCATTTCTCCGCGATTCGCTCCCTCTAGAGCCCCACGAAATCCTCCTTGTAACCCCATTATTATTATTACTACTATTATTAAATCCACCATCCATTTCAGTGTACACAACAGGAAGTGCTCTCTCCCCACCACCCCTCCTCCCTCCTAACCTCCCAACAGCAAAACCACCACCAGGTAATCTCCAAATTGTCAATCCAACAGCTTCCTCCTCCACTGCCTCTTCATTTCCTACTACAACATTCTGTTCGTTCGAATCGACGTCCCGTGACTCAGTGGGCAATTCGTGCCTACAGACGGGGCACGAATTGCGCAATGAGAGCCATGGGAGTATGCAATCCGAATGGTACAAATGCTTACATGGCATTTCCCGTGCCTCGGTACCTAACTCGAATGGCTCCTTACATACTGCGCAGTATGATTCTGTGGCAATATGGTTATTAAGTATCTCAATTGTGGGCAATGATTCTACTGCTGCTTTTGAAGCTGGTGGATTCTCCATTCTTCCAATACCGTTAGCTTCTATTTGAGCAAGCTGATCCAACAGCCTGTCAAAACCCGACCCGAGTAAAAACTCCGACATAGTAGCCGGTAAGGGTCTTAATCCCGACCCAGCTCCATCATCATAATATAGTTCAAACGCCCCTCCCCCTCCACCTCCTCCACTCCCTCCTCCGCCACGAAGGACGATGACGGGATTAAACGGTGACCGATCACCGCCTCCATTCCTCCGGTTCCGGCGAAGACCTGGACTTGACCCAGAACCATGACCCGTCCCGGAAATAGGACCCGTTCCTGGAGACTGATCGGAGTTACGCGGCGCCGGGAAACGGCGTCGGCGGGACCCGGAGAGAGAGGATCGGGTGGGAGCCTCGACTTCTTCGACGAATCCGGTGTTACAATCGGGGCATGTAACTGAATCCTCGTTGTATACTCTGTAAAATCTGTTGCATCTATAACACCAATACGTTGAAGACATCGAAAAATCTCTACACTTCAAAACTCAGAAAAAGTCAACAAACTCAAAAACGGATTTGGTCCAAACCCAGTTTCAGATCCCACAATTGCAACAAAATTAATTCGAACAAGGGAAGTTTAGAGCGATATTTTGAAAACGAGAGAATATTGAGAGAGAGAGAGAGAGAGAGAGAGATTGGGGGTGGAATGAATGGGGGAAGGAGACAAATATAAGGAGAAGGGATATAGAGAGAATAATAATAAGAGTGGAGGGTAAAATAGGAAAAGAGGTGTAAGAGTGATGACTAGGAGTGTGGCGTATAATATAAGCTGGTAATTCATTGACACGTGTCAGTTGAAGGATGGTCTAGAACAAATTTAGTCAAAGTGATTAAGCTAATAATGAAATCTATTGCTCAAATACATTGTTACGACCTAACTATAATAAATTAATATAAGAGTATATAGCTCGCTTTAAATACTAACTCTTTATTTTGTTAAATTTATGAGGGTAGCACTAAAATATTTTCTTTCCTTTTACATATAAAAAATAATAAGAATAGATGATTTAAGTGAGAACAGAAAAAGAAGATATTTTTGAGAATTATTCTATTCTTGAATAGTCAATATTAAATGGCGCTTTCATTTTCTTTGTTTGATAACTTCGTTTTTCTGTCACCAGAATACATACATTTGGAAATCCATGTATTAATTCAACCACATATGTATAGGATGTGTTTAATTTAGCTGAAAATTCAGAATTTTTTTTAAAGGAAATACATCTAGTGTAATATTTGCAAAATTTGAGTTACACGTTCTTAATAGATCACCTAACCGCGCAAGTTCAAAATTTTAAAATTTCATTACTCTCATTCTACATAATAAAAATGTAATATATTTTAAGTTTTTCTATATTTAGAAAATTCGAGTTGAAAGTAGAGAGTGCATCCGCTCGGTCTATTCATAGTACAAATTATTAAATCCGAATGAAATTAGATGTGATTCGATCAACTACATAAGTCGTAGTGCACGTACTCTTCCATACGTAGGCTCCCTCGTTATATCTTAATCAAGAAGTTTGATTATTATACAATTACTTAGTTCGTGCAAGAGTGCGCAAGCTTTTTATTATTGCATTCTGCACCACATATAATAAACTTTTAGAATTTTCCATTTTCAATAAGAAATTCAATTCAAGTGAAATGAGAATCTGTTGGTTCTTTCTTAAAAGGATCAAACCAGAATGAAGTAATCAGAAAATACTGTTTCACTTTATGAGAGAAAAGGGGCTGAGAAAAGACTGCATATTTCACTCAAATCTACGCAGCGCACTAGAAAAGATTAAAGAAAAACTTAAAAAGGCAATGGACTCATCAAGAGGATAATATGTTGGTAAGTCTTCTCTTTTTTTTTGTGTGTCCGGTATTTGTATTGAAGTTTCAATTAATCCGAATTTATGTCACGTATAACTCATTAGAGGAAGAAACGAAAATTGGGGCATCCGGTGCACAAAACATCGCATATTCACGCAAGGTTCGAGGGTCGTACCCCTAAGGGTGTAATGTAGATAGTCTACCCTAATATCTTGAACCCCTGACCTATAGGTCACACGGTGACAATGTTATCGTTGTTCCAAGGCTCCCATTCTTAAAGGAATTATAAACCTGATGCACAAACCATTCAGTATTCACGCAAGGTTCGAGAGTCGCACCCCCAGGGGTGTGATGTAGATAACCTACCCTAATTTGCAAGCATTAGTGTCTGCTTTTACAGCTCAACCCCTGACCTATAGGTTACACAGTGATAATATTATCGTTGTTCCAAAGTTTTCCTTAAAAAAAGAAATGCTCCTTATCAGAATTTTTTTTCGTTTGCAAAACTTAAATCGAAACCTCTGGTTAATGATGAAGTTATCATATTCGTTCACAATCATCTTTAGTGTTAAGTCTCATGCTTTACAGTTGGTCATTCTTGTCATTTTGCTAACCGTTGGTGTCAATTAAAGTTGGTAATTGTGAGGGCTTTAAGGATTATTGTACTTTTCTTTTTTACTTTTGGAAGATAAATACTGCTGGTCTAAAAGTTGCATTACTATTAGGACTTTAAAGATTATATTAGGTCTTTTCTTTAATTTTTTCTTTTTCTTTTTGAGGGATGCATTGCTTTATTTTTTTGGTGAAAAAGTATAGTAGTAATAAGAGAACTTTGCAATCCATATCTGCTTTTCGATGGATATCCACTTTAAAGATTAATCTGAATTCTCTGGAAAAGTTTAAGATTCGAACACAAAAATTCTGGTTAAGAATAGAAAATTTCAAGTTTCAACCTTTTATGGTTATTCACTTATTTGTTAGATATGCATGTCAAAAATATTCAAGGAAATAAACAAAGTAGCTGCCTTCACGAAAAAAATATTTAAATTCAGTGAACTAGCAGTGTAAAAATATATATACAATTATATACGTAATTTATAAAGGAAATATAAATAAATTTATGTTAAACATTCTGTTGTAATAGATTAAATTATAGTAGTACTAATCATATAAAAGATCACACACTATCATTATAGTATGTAATGTGGAAAATGAACATGATACAAGCCTGCAACCAAATTTTTTAAGAACTCTTATTTGAGACCCCACCCCCTCCCACCTAAAAAAGAAAAAGTAAGTAAAAAAGGAAAAGAATATGTTACACTTGCATTCTAAATATATTAATAGTGCTCAACATAGACTTATATAACGACTATAGTAGACTGTAGAAATTTTTTTCTGGTATGGAGATGACCCAATTTGGAACTCTAATCACCGTCAAGAAATATGGTATAATGATTTTTTTTTAATTAGAGATTTACGAGTTCGAACTCTAGATATGAAAAAACGTTAATAGGAAGTACTTTCTGTTACACCCCATATTTTCGTACGTAAGAGTACGTCTTAAGTCAATTGATGTAAGTTCATAAATGAGATCATCTTTGAAAGTACATAAAGTAAGTTAATCATGTTACCATGTAAGTTACAAATATTTAAGATCATGAATACCAAGTACCAAAAGGGTTGGAAGGTTTTGAAGCTAAACGAATTGAAGAAAATGAGTTTTGTCGAAAATCGACAAGTTGGGAATGTTATAACATGTACTTTTGGGGTGAGAATAGGGTGTTTAAAATTATAAGGAGATTATGTTATGAGTTATTTTAGTCGTATGATAGACATGTGTTATGATTTGAAGCCAAGCGAGTTGTGGAACAAAAGTTGAAAAAGGTCATCACAAGTTACATTCATAAATGTGTTGAAACTTAGGTCAAATGTAGTTGAGCTTTTCTCCCAATATACTTGGAATTAGGGTATTATCTACCTACCAAATTAAAGATCTACGAGTCTATTTTCTAACACATTAAACCGTTCATCTATACGACATAGGAGTAGAGATATATTTACAGTTTCGCGAGACTGCGTAGACTGCATAGGTGACAAGTAGATGCGTCATTAAAGCTTTTTGAGCAGTACATTTCGTATTTTATATGAGGTCTTTTGGGACATATTATATACCAAATTGAATTTCTTGGAATGTAGTTTCCAATGCTCTTAACCGTTTGTTCATACAACATCCAGGTAAAAAGATATAAGCGTCGAAAGATGGGCCAATGCTAGGGTGCCAAGCTAGCACCTCTTTGGCTTTTTCAAAGTTGATATATATGTGTCTTAGGTCGGCTTTCTCTTCATTTTTCAGTATAACACGACCAGAGAACACCCATAAACATATCCTTAAGCTCTCTTCTAGGGTTTCAAAGAAGATTATCATCCTGAGCACAAAATCGAAAAGCGATAACATCAAAATGATCCCCACAACGTAAGTATCATTATACCGCCTCTCTTTTTTCTTTGTAGTTCGAGTTTTGGAATGTACTTCATAGTTAGGAAACGTCTAATATCTGTATTTAAGTGTTTAAATATCAAGGAAGGTTGATAAATTCGTTTCCTAATAGTTAGAACTCATAGGACGGTGATCGAAAACTGTGAGTTCGAGTTATTTGACTTGTAGTGGACTGTTTGTGGGTTGTTTCGTGTTGGCCTCTTATGCTGATGTTTTATGGAGTTTTAGAGGAGAAAAGGTGTGGTAAAATAATACATAATGACGGAATGGTGTGCTGGTTGTTTGTCATTATTTTTTTTAGGTTGTTTGACACTACTTTTGTTGCCGTTTTATGTATGAAGTGATTAGGGTGTGCAGACTGTTTTGTGATATATTGTAATAGAGAGAAAGTTGGAAAATGATGCATACATGTTGTTATTGTTTTGTTCTTGGTGTCGTTGGTCTATGGTATTGGAGGAGAGCCTTGTTACATGGGAGATGCTGCCCAAATTTACGTAAACAAGCTACTAGTTTATATTGCGGACTTAGCCTTTACTCAACACTGATTTTGAATCTCCTTATGTTGTGGTAAATTGAGTTGAGTTGTTTGAAGAATTGCATAGAAGGTATTAAGGACTCAACGAAGTTAAGGTATGTGAAGACTAAACCTTTCATTCATTTTGGCATGATCCAGTAACTACATGTGTTTGATAACGAGACATAAAGAGAAATTCATATTCCTGAATTTATGTGCATTTTCCTATTCTCATAAGTTATAGCATTCTCCCTTATCGAGACTTCGTATTCAGTTTAGTTTTGTCTTCTGTCAGCCAAGAGAGCAAAGAGTCTATATATATATACAGTATTACAGTGTTTTCACCATCATCGAGCTATAATTGATGGGCAAGCCCCTATTGGGCAACCTCTGATCAAATGGTGAGTTATATACCGAGCCTACTGTGGTCGAGCGCCTTTGAGCGAGCCTACTACGGCAGAGCAGTTACACATACCGAGCCTTATAAGGCCAGATAACTATTTTACTTACTATATTGAGAGAGTTGAGCCAGTATTAGTATGTAAGCATATCTTCAGATTATCTTTGACTTCCAGTTACTTTCAGTTATTATATTATCAGTTCAGTTTCAACTTTCAGTTATCCTGTCTCTTCACATACTCGGTATATTATTTCGTACTGACGTCCCTTTTGCCGGGGACGCTGCATTTCATGCTTGCAGGTCCTCATTGACAGTTGGTGAGACCCTCCCAGTAGAAAGAGTCAAACATTAACTTGGTTGGTAAGCTCCACTTCCTCGGAGTTGCTAGGTTTAGACCTTGGAGTCCATTTGATATATATACAGGTTT